CCCCCAGGGGGCCGGGTGGGCGGGCGGCTGCTGGCGGGGCGCTCCCCGGACCCCCTCCCTCCCCAGCTGGCTGAGGCTCCTCCCCTGGCCTGCCAGGCCGGTGGCTTCGCTTCTGGTTTCATTTCCCGAGGCCCGGGCTCTCTCTTTCTCCCTTCCCCCAGCCCTTTGAATTCCTGGCTCCTTCTCCACTTTCAGGTCCCAACTCCAATGTCACCTCCTCTGGGAAGCTCTCCCGGACCACCCTAGCTACAGGTACCTCTCCCCTGACCTCTCTGTTTTCCCGTCCTATTTGTTTTCTTCAAGTCGCTGAACAGAAGCAGAAATTATCTGCCTCTTCTATTCATCTTCCAGGGATTCCTCATCCTACTCAGAATGAAAAACAAAGGTCCGTAGGGTGCTCCAAAGGGCCTAGAAACTTCTCCGACCTCCTCCCCGGCAGCATACAGTCCGGCTACGCTAGCCTTGCTGTGGGTCAAAGACAGGTAGCACCCTGAGCCTCAGGGCCTTTGCACTGATACCTCCTTCTGGTTGGAACACTCTTTTTCCAGAGCTTTACTACTACTCCCATTTCATCAGGTTTCTACTCAATGTCACCTCTTCAGAGACCCCTGGATCCCCACCAGCTCCCTGTCCAAAGTGCACACCCTTTCATCACTCTCCTCCAGCTCTGCTTTTCCTTTTCACTTGTCACCTTCTAAGATACTAAATAATTGCTTTATTAAGTTTATTGTCCACCTCCTTACATTAGGGATTTTTGTTTATAATTTTACTGCCATACCTTCAGTGCCTTAACAGTGCCTGGCACATAGAAATTGCTTGATTCGTTTGTTTTCATGTTTCTTTTCTCTTTCCGCCCCTCTCCCCTGATCTGTGAGGAGAGAGACTCCGTGAGGCATATGCAGTGCTGTACCCTCATTGTCTGCAACTGTGCCCGGGACATAGTAGGGTCAATAAATACATGTTGAACTCCTCAGACTTCTGTGAGTTCTTCTTCCCTGTATGATCTGGAAAGAGCCACTGGGAGACTGTGAGCCTCCCTCTTCCCAGGCCAAAAAAATAGGGTATGAGGGAAATTATGTGAATTTGCCTAGCAGGAGCCTGGTTCTACTTAGCATTTGACCCTCTTTTTATTATGAAAAATTTCAAGCACATAGAAAAGATTTGAATACTCTCCCACCTATGTTTAATTGTTAACATTTTAAGTTTCCTTTAACTGCATATGTATATGTGTATATGCACATTTTTTCTTTTGCTGAACTATTGGAGAGTAAAGTGCAGACATCTTGACACTCTACCCCTAATATAATAGCTCAGCAGGCATTTCTTAAGATGAAGGACACTCACCTACAAACCACAAAACTATATCACATCTAAGAGAAACAAAAATTCCATAATATCATCTACTATCCAATCTATATTCAAATTTCCCCAAGAATATCTTGTATAGAAGTTTTTTTCCCCAGATCAGGATCTAATGCAGATTCACATGCCTATTTGGTTTAATAATTAAATTTTACAGTATCTTTTATTCTGCAACATCCTCTCCCCTCCTCAACCCTAGCAATCCCTTCCTGTGTCTTCTTGAAATTGAATTTTTGGTTAGAGCAACACAGTTGTGCTGTAGATATCTCACGTTCTGTATTTGTCTGATTGTGCTTGTGTTTAATTTGTTACTCTGTTCCCTATAAGCTGAGGTTGGGTCTAGACACTTGATGAGACTCAATTCATGAAATTTAACATGGAGGCTCCACCAGGAATGTTTGTACTTCCTAATGCATTTGTATCAGGTGCTACCCAGTGTCAGGGTGTCCCACTACTGTGGATAGAAAGTTTCACTACATGGTTAAGGTGGTGAGCACCACATTTCCACATCATAAAAGGACATTTCCCTCTTTGCAGTTAGCAAGTCATCTATGCATTGATGCTTTGGAAGCTATCAAGATTCTGTTCCCCACTAACTTTTCACCCTAAGGGTTGAGCATCCATTGATAGTGGCTGCCTGACTCAGCAAGTCTGGTTAGCATTTCTGCTAGCTTACTTTGGTCCAGAGCTTTGTTCACAAACAGTTCTTCCCAAAGCACCAAAGGAGTTAGCAGATGAGCTACTTGCAGGTAAGTCCCATTGTCAATTTATGGGACAAGTATTAAATTGCTGTCTACCTGCAGCCCACCCTGCATGTCTCCCCTTTAACTAAGAGCCTGTGCTATTACCACAACAGCCACTACTACTAACAAAAGGACATGTTACACGCCATTCTGGGTACTTTGTACGAATTGTTCTAGTTAATCCTCAAAACAATCTTCTGAGCCAGACGCTGTTTCTCTTTTAAAGGTAAGGAAACTGAGACCCTCCTAAAGGATTAAAACACTTGCCCAGGGTCACACAGCTACTCAGGAAATGGAGCCCAGGATGGGACTCCAGTGGCATCCCACCCCTACCCTCCTAGTCCCATTTGTAACCAAGATTGAGTCCAACCGCCCAGCATTTGCTGAATCTGATACGACCTTATTTTAATTTTCCTAACTGTCAAGAAGTAGGCTAAAAAGATCCCATTTAACATGCTTTGTGTGGCTCAGAGATGTCAAACATTTTTCCAAGGTCACACATCGAGTCAGAATTTGAACCTAGGACTATCTGGCCTAGAGTGTAGTCCTCTGTTGGCGCTGGATGCATACGAAATTCAGTGCTGGGTTTGGCAGGTGCGTAGGCAGGTGTGAGGGGCCCGCGCCTCGAGAGACAAAAATCCCACCCCGCCACTATCCCACAGGACGAATAGTTACTCTGCTTTCTACCCCCTCGCTAAGTCTCCGGGACATGCGCCCTGAAGCCAACTTCTCCTCCCTTCGAAACGGCCCCCTATAGGCCCCGCCCATCACTGTCTAGGACCAATCCCTGGGTGGAGGGCGGAGCCACCACGAAAGTGGGCGGTAGCTAAGGAGAGTCAGGAGCCTGGAGTCGTGCGCCGAAGTCAGAACTGCGTCTCTCGACCCAGGCGCCGGTTGCTGAAGGAGAGTGAGCGAGCAATGCTGCCGCCACCGCTTCCTGATTGGCTGCGGGTGGCTCCCTCTTCGTTCTGATTGGCAACTGGTGAGCTGGGTATGTAAATGAAGGGAAGAGGCCTGGGGAAAGTAGGGGTACTGGCCACGGGGTCATTTAGCAGGTTCGATCCCCGGGTCCGGCAGGTGCGCGCCAGGGC